TATGCTAACTTGGGCTATGACCTGATAATATTCGAAAATTTCCGACATTGTTGTTTCCCGAGGAAGAAGCTATGAAATACGCAGAAATTAGTGAATGAATTCAATATGGTATCAAGCGAAGAATGGGAAGTTAAATCTTTGCTTACCAGAAGAAAATCTCTCCATTCAGAGAAATCAATTACACCATTTTGATTTTTATCCATGGTCTTAATAAACTTCTTTAATTCTGCCTGCGTACAACTAATGCCTTATAATAAAGAATAATGGATTATCAAGATAAAGAGAAGAACAAAGACGCGTCAATTCACGGTAATTGATTCTTACCAGCCTTTTGTAATGCAACTTCCAACTCTTCAGGTTGTAAATTCATATCATTAGATTTATCAATTTCCAAAAATAATTTTAATAATTCTTTTTCTTTTTCTTCGACAAAGGTTTTAAATTCATCAAAATCCACTACACCATCCGAGGATACATCACATTTTTGTAATAATTCTGAAGCATATTTATTTTTTGAAGGATGATTGTTTAATCTATTAAGGCCTTTTAAAAGACTTTGACGATCTAATACACCGGTTTTATCATAATCTAATTCGTCAAATAATTTTTTGATACGCACAATTCTTTCAGCTTCATTCTCGGAATTTTCTGAATTAGCGGCTAGTGATAATGATGAATCATTATTATTGGCCACAGTTGTTGAGGCTGACATTTTATTATTATTATTATTATTATTATTATTATTTGTTTATATAACTCGGGGGAAAAGAAACTAATCTCGGATGATATGATGTCAAAAAAAAAGTCGGCATAAATAACCTGAATTATGTTAGCGTATCATTGGCCAATCAGTTTTTGACAGATGAGTGAATGTCTAATCGTATAAAAAGGTGCAAATTAAAGATATTTTTTTCTTGTCTTGTCCATTTAGATTTATTAATAGAAGATGGTTAAATACACAGTAATTGCTCGCGTGTCCGATGGTAAAATTGAGAAATATATGTATAAATTTAGTGGTTATTTTTTTTTAGAATCAATTTGAAGCAAACATTGCTTTTCTTATAGGACTTCCCCTGGCAGCCTCGGTTGAAGATGATCAGGTCTCAAAAACCTTCATTTTGATTACAAGCACGATTTAATTGATAATCAAGAAAGCATCAAATAATTTATAACTTTACTTCTTTTTATAACAGAATGGAGAAGCAGAGCTCGCAGACTACAAGAATAAAGCCAAACTTCTCTTTAAGAAAATGAATGAGAATTCTGAAGAGAGGTGTTCCATCGAGTCAGGAAATTATTATTTTCAGTAAGGAAATAATTAATTTATAATCTGAATATTCCTTTAAATTTACAAATGTTAAATTGTTTTTATTATGTAGCTATTTGATCCAGCAAGGAGTATGTTATATGACAATTTGTGAACGGTCATATCCACGACAATTTGCATTTAGTTATTTGGAAGAACTTGCGAAGGAATTCTCAATGAGTTATGGGAATGAGGTGGAAAAGAGGAATTTAAGACCTTATGCTTTTGTAAAATTTGGTAATTATCATGGAGATTTTGTTCTTTTTAACAAAAATAAAAAAAAAAAAAATATGAATAAAAATGAAAACGAAAGTATAACTTCCTTATGTGATCTTTTTTTTTATAGATACTTTTATGCAAAAGACTAAGAGAGTATATCAGAACACACGAACACAACATAATCTAGATCGATTAAATACAGAATTGAATGAAGTGGCTAATATTATGACCAAAAATTTGGAGAATGTCTTGTGGCGTGGAGAAGGGTTAGAAAAAATGAGCTCGCTTTCAGATCAACTTCGATATGAATCTCAAAAATACAAGAAATCTGCACGTGATCTTAATTTACAATTACTTTTACGTAAATATGGACCATTAGTATTCATTTTTATTATAATTTTATTGGTATTATATTGGCGATTATGGTGGTATTAAAACTTATTTATTGTAGTATTTAATTAGATGATAGTATTAATAAGTATTAATAATATGTTTAAAACATCTTTTTTTTTTTTTTTTCAATCATTCATCCTTTTTTTTTTTTTTACTTTTGTGTATATTAAACTTAAACAAATATAAATATATTATTACCGCGTTAAGCGATAGATTTAATCGATTAAGGGAATATAAGTTGGAGTTTTCTTTTTGTATTCGACATATTCCTTACCGAAGAATCTAATTAACAAAGGTTCTTCCTCATTAATTCTAGCCTTGAAGAATCGATGTAATGCATAAAGAAAACCAAACATACAAATAGGATTGCAAAGTAATATTTGCGTTCCTACTGCCCACCAATAAAAACCAAAATATGAAGGATGTCTCAGATACGCGTATATTCCATTTGTGACCAAGTTATGATCTTTTTCCTTATGATATACTATTGTATGAGAAAAATTTGATTTAGCATGCCACATGGCAAGACTTCTCACCAATTGTCCTATTACCATTACAGAAAATCCTTTAAAAAGGAGGAGAGATTCAGATTATTAATTGTAATTCGGTGTAATAATATTAGTAGTAACTTACCTATATATTTTAAAAATCGAAAGCTTTTGATGGATGGAAATAAATATAATTCTATCAAGAATTCGGTTATGCCTGATGCATGTGCGATATGATATAAATTTCCATTATTTAACAGGAAACCTTTTTGAAATAAAAAGTGATTAGTAAGTTAGTTACCTTTAAGAAGCACCGAAATACAAATAGCGAATAAATACCGACTATCTAAACTTATTAAATCAGGTTTGAATAGAGCAGTCATCATGTATTCTAATTCATGGAATAAAGCCAACGCGGCAAGAAATATTCCTAATTGTGGAATTGTGTCTGAGAAATAACCTATTGTCAAACATCCTCCAAAAGCTATTCCAAAACAAAAACTATACAAGGAAATATTCTGTGGTGTATGTCTTCCATCCAATATTAAGCCTTTTTGTTGAGCATTGCTCTCCATTATAAATATTTGAATTTCTTTGTAGGGTGAACTTTATTAGTAATTTTTATTTTACGTGGACTATAAAATATTGGAATGAAAATCATCAAGAATTTATGCTTTATATAAATATAATTTTGACGCATATTCACACAATACGTTGATGATATTTAGAACAATATTAATATTAAAAATATTAAAAATAATTTTTTTTTTACATTTCCAAGTTCTTTAATATTATCCTATAATTATCCTATAATTAGACTTTTAACACAGCCCTAAATATGAAGCCTCCCTTTCATTAAAACTTGTCTTTAATTACCTTAAATTATGGTGAATTATTATTATTATAATGATTTATTTATAAGGTTTTTTTTTCACATTATCCCTCGATCTATGGTTGTAATTAATGCTTGCCCGAATTATATATATCATGCTCACATGACTTGACTAATAATATATTATTATTAAATTAAATAAATATAAATAATGTTATTAACTATCTCCTCCTTTGAGCAGTTTTTTTATTATGAGAATTTATAATGATGTGATATAACTGTGTGATTAATTTCTACCAACTTTTTTATCAAATAATTAGTTTTTGTATAAATAAATAAACAATCCCAATTGTTTAAATCCCCCCCTATAGTTTATAAGAGGTTTTTTTCCTTTTTATAAAAAATTAGTAAAAAAGAAAAAAAAATAAATAAACTATTTTTTTTTCTTTTTATAAAAAAAAACTTTTTTTTTTTTTTTTTTTTTTTTAAAAAAAAAAAAAAATTTGCCAAGCTGGAGCAAACTATGGATGAAGCACTTACAAAGCCAAGAAATGTAACTCATACCATGTATAAGTTATATAACTGGTTACAAATGGGTATGATTGACTTGAATCCTGAATTTCAAAGAGGTTTGTATATAGTAACAAAAAAGTTAAAAATTTATATGAAACTATTATATTTTTGTTTACTCTTCCATTTCGTTCGAGTTACCAAAAAAAAATAACACCACCTTTTGAATGAACAGAATGTGGCGCAGCAGTCGTTATTCTAACCGAGACCTTTTTGTATCTTTTTTCCGTTTGCTTGATCCATAATAATAGACATAGTATGGACAGGCATCAAGCAGTCACACTTGGTCGATTCTGTACTCAATAATTTTTATGTACCACCTATAATTTTTTCTTGTAAAAAGTTGGATAGTAAAAGATGGATGCGTGTTTGCATTGATGGAAAGCAACGTCTCACTGCTATTAGAAAGTAATAAAACCTTTTTTTATATTAGTGATTTGTTCGTTACACAATATTGTCCACTAAATTTGTATTAAATTTAGGTTCATGGATAACGAGATCCCTCATCTTAGTCCTTCTGATGGTAATATCACTAAGCGTTATTATAGAAATCTTAATAATAGACGTTCTTTGACAGAAGCAGAACGTGAAATGTTTGATTGTTCTGAACTTCTTTGTGGTAAGTTATGGTTGATCGTAATCACAAATACTTATATCTTATTATCACCTATTCTTTATATACTTATTTTTTCTTATCATTTAGTTGAATATTATGATCTTACCTTGCACCAAGAACAAGAAATATTCAGTCGCGTACAACTTGGTGTTGCCTTGACACCCGCTGAGAAACTTCAGGCGATTAGCAGTCCAATGGCTGATTTCGCTCACACAATCTATAGTCAACATTCTACCCTTTCTTCTATTATGGATAATAAACGCGCTCGTCCTTTCCAACTCATCACTCAATCTTTGCACATGATTGAGACAGAACCAGAGAAATTCAATGCTACTCCCGCTACTATCACTAAATATTTGAAGGAAGTTCGTCAGGTCCCTGAAGGTCTCAAGGCATTGGCTAAACAAATTTATACTACCATAGAAGAAATGATTGAAGATGATGCTGAATTATTTCATCGTGATCATAGATTGGCTCCGGTGGAATTTGTTTTTTTAACCTATATGATAGCTAAATATCCAAAGTTACCGATCTTTCAATATCAAAATCGTCTTTTAACCATGAAGAAACATGTTCGTGCTAAACATGACGATATCAGATTTAACAACAAGGTCTTTGACACATTGAAAAAATTTGTTGATAATATGGAATATGAATTCATTTCAAATCATAATTTTCCTCTCCCGGCAAATCCTATTTATGATACTCCCGTACCTTCATCATCTAATACCCCTCGAGGGAAAAAAAGAGTAAAGACCTCAAATTAGGTAAGATAAGGTGATAAGGTAAGAGTAGCAGATTGAAAGAGAATCTCGCTTAAGTGAGATGTGAATCAAATCATATAAATATACATGTACTTGTGTTAATTTCTTTTATATATAGTTTTTTCTTACAAAAAAAAAAAAGACAAAATATTACGCATTATATTTTTTTCTGTGATTAGATATAAATTCCCCTTTATTATTTTCCCCTTATATATATTCCTTTTTTTTCTTCTCACTCTTCCGTTTACTTTTTATTTTCTTTTTATATAAAAAAATTAATTTCGAAGACAAATAAAAAAAATAAAATAAAATAAAAACATTTGAAATTTAATAATAATTCATTTATTATTTAATTCTTCATTATAACATAATAATTGGATAAACAGAGGATTAAAGTTAAGATATTAGAGGTAAGACAAAGTCGTTGTGTAGAACTGTCCTTTTTCTGATGTAAGTATATTTATCAACTTTTTTATCAATCACAATTTTATCTTTGTATAATAGTTTTTTTATATATACTTTTAATTGTATATACTTTTTTTTATTGTTTAAAATAAATAAAATATTTAGAATTATTAGTTGAAAATATATATATATTATTTAAAAATTATATAATATAGTACTACAAATTTGTAAGCAATTTTATTTATAAATTAATTATTTTTAAATATTTTTAAATATGTTATTAAAAAATTAATACTTCTATAATAAATTTTATTATATTTCTAAGTAAATTAACTAGTAATTTTTTAAAGAAAATAAATAAATAATTATTATTAAAAAATTAAAATTTTAATTCTTATACCTTATTATTTATTAATCTTAAAAATATATTATTTAATAGGTCTTAATAAAATAAATCCAATAAAATGAATTTTATTTTTAAATAATTATTACATAATATGTTATTTTTAAAAATTAAAAGATTAAAAATTAATATATATTAATAATTATCAATTTTAAAAATTTAAAAATATTATTATTAAATATATTTAATATATTTTAATATAACAAATATAATAAACTTTATTTACTTTATTTCATTTTTTCATAATCATTAGATGTCAAAATATTTTAGTTTTCTAAAATATTTATAAATAATTTTATATTTACAATTTAAGAAATAATTAATTATATATATTATATTTAATAAATTTAATAATAAAAAATCTTTTTTTTTATAATATTATTTATAAATTATATCTGTAATTTTACTTATAATATTTATTTTAAAATATCTAGCAGATAAATTTGCTTATAACTTTTAAAAAAAAATATTAATTTCTTAATAAAATATTAAATATTATAGTTAATTTATATTTATTAATATTATTAGAAAGATTTTTAAGTTTATTAAGAAAATTTTAAATAATTCAATTTTAAAATTAAATTTTAAAAAATTTATTATTATAATTTTCTTAAAAATTTATATATTTATGAATTGATTAAATTACTTTAATATTAATAAATATTATAAAATTTTTTAAAATCATAAAAATCATAATAATTAAACTTATTCTTTATAATAAATTTTATGATATTTTATTATGATTATAATAAATTTGTTAAAGGTTAATAATAAATTTTTTAAATTACAAATTTTTAACTTATAAGTAATTTTAGATTTTTTTATTATATAATTAAAAAATAAAAATTACTATTCCTTCAACCGTTTTGCCTACAAATTTGTAGATAATTTTATTTATTAATTACAATTATTTTAATTATTTTTAAACATTTTAAAATTTATTATTAAAAAATTTAATAAATTTTATGATGTGTTCTAAGTAAAAATTAAAAAAAAGTAATTACCTAGTGATTTTTTAAAGATAAATACTGTATTCCTCCGAAAATAAACACCGCGTGATATATATGAATTTTTTAGTATATACGTGACAAATAATATAATAAATTTTATGTGACAAATAAATAAATTACTATAAAAGGAGCGTGTTACAGGATGCTTATTTTCAGGAATATACGGTAAATAATAAATTATTATTAAAAAAATTAAAATTTTAAACTTATATATATTTGCTATCTATCAATCTCGGAAATATAAAAATACTATCATTTAATAGATCTTGATGTGATAAATTCAATAAACTAAAATTTTATTTTTATAATTATTAGATAATAAATTATTTTTAAAAATTATGACAATAAGCATTATTTATTATAAGAAAGGTATAATTATAAATATAATATTACAGAAATGTATATCTGTTTATAAAAATTATGATTTTTATATTCTTTGCTTTAAATTTATTAAAAAATTTTTCAATGATCTATTTAGAGGAGAAAGAAAAAAAAGAAATATTTTTTTTGATATTTGATAAAATTATTAAATTCATTTACACAAATTTTAATACTAACTTCTTGTGATCTATCATTAAATATTAGTATGATAGTATTTTTGTTCAGTACTTTCACATTTTTTAGGATTTAACAAGTTTTAAATAATGATTAATATCCATTTTGACAAAGTTCTATGTTGTAAAATAATAAAAGGTTTATTCTCTTTCTTTATTTAAATTATAAGAAATCATATCTAAAATTATTAAGTAAATATAATTCTATGTCTGTAAAACTTGTAATACTACTAAAAATTTACTAATCTTTATAGATTAAAATTGTAGTAAAGCAGCCAAAACTTAATATGCTGATGGAAATTTGTTCTCAATTTAATTTCTATGATATAACTATTGGTAAATATTTTATTATAAATAAATTCTTTTGTATTAAATATATTATTTACATATTAATTAGGTTTGGATAATTAGCAAATTGTAATGTAGCTACATTTTACAGTTAACTATACTATAATAAAAAAATTCATTATTTAAAAATTTGATAGAGATTTTATTATTTAACTTCTAAATAGTTATTACATATTTAATTTTAATATAGTTATAACTGTATAAAGATAATCTTTTTATAGTCACATCTTTATATAATCACTAATTTTTATGAAATTAATTATATAAAGTCTAATTGTATAATTAAATTAAATTTTTCAATTAATCTAAATTTTCAGTTTAAATTAAAAATTGATCTATGATTTAATTTAAATTTTAATTAATAATTTATAATTTAAATTGAATTAACTTTTTAGAATTTTATTTAAATTTAATATAATTATAATCAATTAATTTTTATTATTTTATATTTATTATTATATAAATTAAAAAAAAATATATATTTTTTAAAGATATTAAAAATACTAAAATTTATTAGTTTAATAAATAAAGTTCTAAAAAGATCAGATTAAATTGAATAAATTAATTACTTGACTTAAGATAGTTAAATCAGATTAAGCAAAAATTTGATCTAATTTAAATTTTTATTTAAATTATTCTGATCTGATAATTATATAATTTAGTTAGATTTTTATAAAAATTAGATTACTTGATTCAGTATTAGATATAATATAGTCATATGAAAATTTTATGACCTTATAATTATCTATTATATGACTAAATATCATAAATTATAAAATCATATAGATTAACTAATTTCAGCCAGAATTATAATTAAAAAATTATCTTATTTGATAAATATGTAATATTATACAAAGGTAAAGAAATTTTGTATAATATTTTTAAATTTTTTAATTTATTATTTTAAGAATTTATGTAACTAAATTTTTTTTATGAAAATAATTTTATTAATAATTCTGATCAAAATATAATGCAGGTCTAAATTAAAAAATATATGATAAAATCATAAATCATAAAACTTATTTAAATAATAAATGATTTATGATAAATCATATAAGTCATATAAGTTATATGATATTATATGTTAACACTAACCTGATCTGATCTAATTTAACTTAAAAAGAATATTGTTTTATTTTACTAATTAAATAATATTAAATAATATTAAATTATAAAAGAATAATATAATAACAATTATTAATATATTTAATCAATTTTGTTATAATAATTTTTTAATTGAACAATTTATTATTATTTAAAGAAAAATGATTTATTATTCCTTAAACTGTAGAGCATGCAAATTTGCTTGCGAACATAAAAAAAAGTATTAATTTTTTAATAAAAAATAAAATATTAATGTTAATAATATAATTATTATATAAAA